TACTTTTGCTCCACATATCTTCTATAATAACATAAATAACATCCTAAAAGCTTGAATTTTCATGAAGTGAATTACTCTCATATCTATATTTAATTTCTTTTGTTTTGGCTAGCATTGAATCCCACATCTCATAAATGAGATGTAAACAAGACTTATCCGTATCAGCTACTCTCAACATCTCATAAATTGTATCTATAAATCATCTAAAAGCTTCTCCTTTACATACCTAGCCTTTCCAATATCATCTTCCCTATAACATGATCATTTGTCACTGATCACCATAGCTTGAAGAGCTTTTTTTTTTAATCTTCTCAACATCATTATAATTGAGGCAAATGAGTTTCAGCAACTGCAAGCATCATCAAATTAGAGAAATCATTAAACATAGAGAGTCTCATTGAGTGATTCATAATAAAATTCCTAATTACAACTGCATCTCCAATAATCACTGTGATCCAATGACATTCATTGCAGGTGATTTTGTTTGCCTCGGTATTCTTAGCTGCACAAATGTTCTTCAAGGTAAGATTAAGTGTGTGCACAATACATGGTATCCATAAAATATGAGGATAGTCTTGCTCTACAAGTAGACCTGCAGCTCTACAAATAGCTGCATTATCAGTAATGACCTTTGAAGGCCCCACCATCATGATAATTTTTTTTATTAAATTAGAAATGTAGAACTTATCCTTGTAATGTCCTTCACAGTTTACATCTTTGATAAACATATGATAGCTCTTTGTTACAGCCATGAAGTTGATAAGTGATCTTCTTTGTGAATCTGTCCACCCATCACAAACCAAAGTAACTCATTTTTACTTTCAAACTCCTCTAGTAGGCTCGAGCAAGTTCTCAATATTATCCCTCTCTTTGCAACAACTTTGTTCTAATGACATTATATCCTGGTGGCATATATCCTGCAAGATTATTATTTTATGCGTAGGTAAAGGCATTCTGTAATGTGGATTCCTTGCTAGGTTAAAAAGAAGTCCAGCGGAGAGGTACCGACCAGTACCGAGCTGCATCGAGTTCGGGTATCGAGCGGTACCGAGCAGTACCGACTTCCGGTACCGAGCCTACAATGAAGAAAACGAACAAAACGAACCTTCACTGCTCGTGTCACCTTCACTATTCGTGTCGTTGAGCTGCTTTGTCAACGAACGATAATCCTGTCGGCTTTAATGCTTGCGTCGATGAGCCTCTTTGTCTACGAAGGATGATCTTGCCCACTTCTATGCTGGCATCTTCAAATCGCTCCTTCGACTACAACGAAGAAGACGAACGCCTGTGCGGAAACGAACCTTCACTGCTTGTGTCACCTTCACTGGTCGTGTCACCTTCATTGTTCGCGTCATTGAGCTGCTTTGTCAACAAAGGATAATCCTATCGGCTTTAATGCTTGCGTCGTCGAGCCTCTTCGTTGATGAAGGATGATCTTGCCCACTTCTATGCTGGCGTCTTCAAGCTGCTCCTTCGACTACAACGAAGAAGACGAACGCCTGTGCGGAAACGAAAAACCTATCTTGCGGAAATGTTTAAGACGCATAAATGAATAGGGATATCGAGCGGGTAGCCGAAATGAATAGAGCGAATTGCAGCTCCGTTTTTTTTTATTTTTTCATTTTTTAACCGGACACGCGTATCCGATATGTGTCCTGTCAAATTTAAATATATTTTAATTGGACATTGCAAAGCCGTATCTGACACGTATCCGTGCCGTATCGGAGGTGTATCCATTTCCGACGCGTGTTCGATGCAGCATGCCTCGTAAATAGGAGTATCGGTGCTACATAGGGGGGGTGTGTATCCTGTAGCTTTGCATTTAAATTTCCACTTAAAGTTCAACCAAGTGATGTTTGCAATGACTTAGAAATCAACTTTGTGAAGACGGAAACGGATATTAGATTTTGTTGTTATAAATATCGTTTTTAAATGTAGTATTTCCTATGTAGCAAGCACTATCCTCATTACCTCATTTTACCTAAATCTCTAAGTAGCAAAAGCCAAAACCAAGAGCTGGTGGGGACAAAGGTGGAGGACAAGTAGGATAATAGGTTGGTCAGGTGAAATCTGGGTTTTTTTTTTTTTGCATTTTGTAGATTATTGTTAAAAGAATGATATTTCGTATTGATCATTGTGTGGAGACTTATGTCATTATTGATCATCAATTGGTCACTGAATTTCTAATTTATAAAGTATATTTTAGTTTTTTACATGTAAATATATATGTAATATGCAAACAAGGTGTTAGAAAGTCTTCATATTGCAAAGTACATGTCTGCATCATACCATTCATGATTAAATTATTACATCAATTTTAAATTGTGAAAAAAACATATTTGAAGTATAGAACTCTACCAACACTTCATTAAATTACTGATTGATGCAGAATGTTGATTTACAGTAGCTTAAATATATCATACAAGTTACTGATTGATGCAGAATGTTGATTTGCATGTTTATAAATTAAGATATATGATTTAAATGTTCAATAATGGACATGCAATAAGCTTACGAAAGTTTATGTTAGGTGTGATAGATTGTCAATGATATATTTACGATAACTCTATATGCAGGGCAATATAGGTGAGCCTTTACAAAGAAAAAAAGTTCCTCAAGTAGTTCAAATAGTGATAATCTTTGATTTCAACTAGGCTTTATTAAACCTTATTATTTAGCATTTGGGCTCGATTATGTCCCTATGGTATGTGGTGTGGGTCTGTTATTATCTACTATTTTTGTATTGCTGATGAATCCATACATCAATCTATGTAGATAAGATAGTCTATGATAAGAAATAAATAAAATAAGCAAATAAATATTATTATATGATTATTTTATTATTTTGATACTTGTATGTTTGATTAGTGTAATCATATAATGTTTGTACATTAAACATCTCTTTGAAAGTTCCTTACAATAAGATTACTTCACTTATTGTTATCCTGTGTTATTACTCGAACAAATTTCACTTTACAATGATTACAAGTAATGTACAAGATTAGCCTATGATTATAGTTTAAATTTTAAGTCTAGTTCATGATTAACATATCATATTTTTTTATTTCCTTGAATATTTGAAAATTATATTTGAGTTGTTTATCTTATTGAGCATTATAGCTCACCAGAAATTACTATGGCTATTGTTTCAGGTAAAGGGAAAGACAAGATTGAGCCTAAGTGATGATCGGTTTTGAATCAACTATTCTATGTTTTGATGCTTAGTTTTAGTAGTAAGATATGAAACTTGATCAAGTATTGTATATCATGAAAGTTATTGTTATGAATTTAAATTCTGATGTTTATTAGAAGCTTTGTAGTTAAATGAATGAAATGTTTTGGGATTTTTCCATGCAATTGGAATTGTGTTAATTTATTAGATCTCTGAGTTAGGAATTTTTAAAGACTGGTAGATTGCAAGGATTTGGTCAATTGACCATTCAATGACTTATTTGGTGGACCTAGATCATTTTACCGAGATAATTACACCTAATTTAGGGATTTGATTCAAAATGAGCATTAGCTTATAGAATTAACCCATTTTCACCAAATAAGTCAATTGATCGTTTAATGACTTATTTGGTGGACTTAAATTAACTGAGTAAATTTAGTTTATAGAATTAACCCATTTATTCTATTGAATGTTCCATGGGGTTAGACTTAGGCTATGTGGATCCATGGGGGTTGACCAATCCAATTAACTATGTCCAATTGAATCTAGATGTGGCCAAATTGGGTTCTTTATGGTTGATTAAGGACCCAATTGAGGATCAATTTACCTAGCGAAGGGAACGGGTCACTTAGGTATTAAGAGAACTAATTGACTCAACCAAATTTACCAGGGTTAAACCAAGGGTTTAAGGGAGCATGTCGCCACAAAAAGCCAATTTAGGGCTTCATTGAGCATATAGTTTAGTTTAAATCAAATTATGGTCAATCATGACTGAGCCAAAGGTCAATCATGAGTGAAGATATTAATTAGCACCAATTTAGAGGTCACCAATTTAGAGAGACTGATTGGCTCAACTAAACTAACTAGGATTAGCTAGGGGTGTCAAATTGGGTTGACGAGTTAGGTTCGGATCATATTTTAAATTGATTTGACCCAAATCCAGTTAACTCGAATCCTACCTGTTTAATAAATGGGTCAAAAATAATAACTCAAACTCAATCCACTAGCAACTCGAACCCGACCCGTTAGTTTGTTTTGGTTAAAAATTAGAATTTGTTAACTATAAATTTAGCATATTTGATAAAAAAATAGAAAGATGCCTACAAGTAAAAAAATTAAGAAAAAAAAATGAAACGAGACATTTTTGGGTAAAAAATGAGTTCGCATGTCAACCTGAACCTGATCCATTTATTAAATGGGTTAGCCCAAACCTAGATTTTTTTAGTCCGGTTCAGGTCGAGTCAATGTTTTACACCCCTAAGTTAACCTTGGTCTAGTTGGGAGCACATAACTAAATAAAGCTAATTTAGGGCATTTATGAGTACTTAGGTTAATTTAGAGTAGATCATAGTCAATCATTAGTAGGCCAAAGTTAATCACGACCATAGAGATTAACCAAGACTAATTAAGGGGTCAATATGTGGAAGATGAAGCTAGGACCAATTTAGGGTTAATAGCACTAGAGGATGTTGATTAGATTCATTTTTGGACCCGCTTGGTCATAGAGGTAAGTCAATATTAGTTTAGGGTCAATTGAAACCTCAAAGATTTGAGGATTACCTTGCATTGTCCAACTGCATCACATAAGTAGGTCAAGACTAGTCTAGGGTGAATTAAAACCTAGTAGCATCGCTGATTGGCCATGACCTGAGGAACCTAACTTGGCATAGGGTCTAGGCAATGTGTGCTCAAAACCTAGGCAATAGAGGACTAGATCTTTCCAATGCATTTTTGGAGTCAACCAACACTTTCTGGAACTCAGTTTTATACGAGTGTTAAATTCTCTTATTTTCCATTGTGATTTGTTTTATTTTTTAAAATAATTCAGGTGGCGCTCAATGTTTGGTATTGCAATTATTCCATCAATTCTGTTGGCACTAGGGATGGCTATCTCCCCTGAGAGCCCCCGTTGGCTTGTTCAGGTTTCTTCATCTCAATAAATCCTGAATAGTTCTAATTATCACGCTATTTATTTTGCTTGGAAAACTGTTGATGCATTTTATAACCCAGCAATAGTATTTAAATGCACTTAATGGGATGCTCTTTCAGCAAGGAAAATTTAGTGAGGCAGAAAATGCTGTAAGGATCCTCTATGGAAAAGAAAGAGTTGCTGAGGTTATGCATGACCTTAAAGCAGGCGGTCAAGGTCGCACAGAGCAAGATGCTGGTTGGTTTGATCTTTTCAGTAAGCGGTACTGGAAAGGTACATATGACCTTAGGGCATCTATATTTACTATTCGGATTGCAAGATTGTATGCTTTGTGCTTTTTGCAATCTGCGGTGCTGATAAATTGGACTGCTTGCTTAAATTTTCATTTTTCCTTAAGTTGCATATTTAGCATGGTATCAAATTTCTTACTACTATTTTATGCGTGATGAGGCTGTAATTTTTATGCCTTTTATGACTTTATGACTTATGGCATATCAAAGATCACAACTATATGTAATTTAAAAGAACTTTCACTAATCAGTCTCTGTAGGCTTATGAATGATGTCTATTTGTAAAACGAATTTTGACTGCCGTTGAACCATTCCTTTAGGCCATACAAATCATGCCTCTAGTGACTTCAATTCGATAAAGGGAAACTTTTATTGCAAGAAAGGAAAATTGCACCGACGAAGGATGACATCATAATTAACTTTGGTGTTTGTTAAACTTTAATTGATTGATTTTATAGTTTTTTTTTTCCTAATTATTTTTACCATCCCAAACTTTTATTCATGCCAACCATTTTTCCACCCTGAGTTAAGCTTTTAGATTGTACTACAGCTGTTTTAGCAGAGCCTTCTATTTACTATGATGTGAGTGAATTTGCTTTTTACGTTGAACGGATGAATAGAAAAATAATTTTAATTGATTTTTTGAAAGATAATTAGCGAAGCACTTTTAGTTTAGCACTTTTTATCAGATAAATGTACAATTTTTTACATCAGATCTCAGCTTTGATTGCATAGGGCTTTTTATATGCTCAATTATTAGCATGGCTCATTTTTCTGTGGTCAGTTACATACTAAGGAAGACTGAACATGTTTTCTTTTAACCAATTCTTGACAAACGTAGTTGTAAGTGTGGGGGCAGCATTATTCTTGTTTCAGCAGCTTGCTGGAATAAATGCTGTGGTCTACTATTCTACATCAGTCTTTCGAAGTGCTGGTATTGCTTCCGATGCAGCAGCTAGTGCTTTTGTTGGGGCATCGAATGTCCTTGGTGAGTTCGCCCAAATTCTAATTCTAACACTAACGAAGCTGATGATAGTTGAATTATATTTCTGCATATATTAGTAGAAATAATTCACATCTTTAAGCAAACTTCATTGCTTTACAGGCACTGCCGTAGCATCATCTTTGATGGACAGGAAAGGAAGGAAAAGCCTCCTCTTGATTAGCTTTATGGGAATGGTAGGGTCTATTCTCCTAATAAGAAATATTGCTTTAATGTTTCATGGGATTAATTCTATAATTGGTTTTCAAAAGATAACTTCCCTTTTATGTTAAATAATTCAGTCAGGGTTCATTTGGGTGCTTGGAGTTAGAAACCATACTTTGAAAATTGATGAATTTACTATATTCTATCATTTGGTTGGATTTATTTTGGAATCAATATTGATTATAGACTCTACAATAACTTTCAAAATCCCTTAAAAATGAATGTTTTATTTTTAAACATGAAATGAAACATATATTATATCTTCAAGAAACAAATGAGTCCGTTTTACATTACCTGCATTTTGTTCTCATTTACACAGTCTTTTACTTTAAGTTAATGTGATACTACACAGCTGTGCATATGTGATGGTTTTTTTCATTTCTTCGAACCTGTGATTATGCATTTTCTACAAGGATATTCATTCTAGGCAGGACACATTCCTTTTCTTGTAGTTTCATTAATTGCACTGAAATCTATTGTTTTCACCCCATGATGAGGAGCTTCTTTGTATTTCGATAATCATGCTACATTAACTTACAGCTTCATTGTCTAAAGTTTCTTAGATCCATTACGTCTTATTTTTCTGTGATACTATGTAATTTCTCTGTTTTGAAATAAATCATTATTCTTCATCAAGGCTGCTTCAATGCTGCTTCTTTCCTTGTCATTCACATGGAAGGTTCTGGCACCATATTCTGGAACACTTGCTGTTCTTGGGACGGTTCTGTAAGTCAAGATTTTCCCAATGATAACGCCAATGCATTTCATCGTTTAGTTTTACACCTTCTGTTTTATTTTCTCAAAGTTCATCATCCGATAATGACTATTTATGTGCATTGCAAAAGCTACGTGTTGTCTTTTTCGCTTGGTGCTGGACCAGTACCAGCTCTTCTGCTCCCTGAAATATTTGCTTCCAGGATCAGAGCCAAGGCAGTTGCGCTGTCTTTGGGTATGCACTGGGTGAGTTTCTCGGTGATCTATCTCTTTCACATTCTTTCAGAATTCTGTATTCGAACAGATTTTAATTCCATGTGGAAACTTGTTCAATTTTTTTAGCATAAGCAATCAGGGTTACCACCCTAAAAGCAAAAACAATCTTTATTAGTACTAAATCTTTCTGGCTGTCAAGTGCGAAAAAGATTTTGGTGTTTAAGATGATTAATATAAAATTTTAAAGTAAAGAAATATTCTTATGATATTTATTTATCTTGAGAATCTATATAATCCAGTACCACAAGAATTAATTTGGTACACAATATTTAAGTTATTATAGATAAGTACCAAGGAACATTGAGTAGTAATTAAGTAATTGCATTGTGATAAAAAAGTTTTCAATCATACTAGGATTAGTTCAAAGATTAATATTAAGTCTACATTCTTTTGTTAAATTAGAGATACTTACAAAGTATGTTAAATTGATGAAACCTTCACTAAATTAAATGATAAGTTTGAACACAGAGAGAAAATATTATAAGATAAAAGTTTTTGGTTAGCTGAACAAAGGGCAAGTATATGCTATGCAATTTAGTGTATATAACATAATAATTATTAATTAATATTATTAAAAGTTAAATTGATACGTATGTGTGAAAATTAAACCTTGGATCTTTTTATGGAGGAATAGAGATGTAGATGATTATAAAATTTTTAGAGTTAAGGATAGGTGATTAGAATGATATTTCCTAGGAATATTATGTGATAAGAAAAAAATTGGAAAGAAATATAAATTTTATATGATGCAACTAGACTTGATGCCTTGGATGGATCTTAGTGTTGGGCAAGAAGAAGTTATTGATAACAAAGTTTAGTATGGTAGAAATGAAAATGTTATGTATACATAGCAAACATAGGAAGTATAAGTTGAGAATTGAGTATAATATAGTGATGGTGAGAGTAGAATCTATTGAAGATAAGGTAATAGAAAATAGATTTACATATTTTGGGCCTTAAAAAAGCTAGAAGTTCCGCCAATAAGATGAGTACAACCACAACAACAACATCAAGCCTTTATCCCACCAATAAGATGAGTAAATAAAATTAATTTTGAAAGTTTTGACCTGTACTAATAACCAAAATGAAATCATAAAAATATATATAATACATTAAATACCTGCAATATCTAGTGGCCCATCCCCAAATCCTGTGCAAAACTTGCTCAAACCACGCCGCCTGCTACAGTGTCGTAGTCTGCGAACGGCGCCGAAGTGTCCTGTCTCTTGTGTGTGTAGCCCGCCTCAATCGGACCTCACAATCGTCGTTAAATACCTGAGCAAACGAAGGTTTCGTTAAACATAGTACGACGCTACGCCACCGGATCCATAACATGTATACAAGTGGATAGAATTGTCTACGAGCTCCCAAATAGAATGCTGCATTCAAATAATGGTTGCATGTACAACCAAGTGACGTCAAATATCCCAAAATGCCCCACACATGCATTGTAATATATGTGCACATAGGTACACAAAAGGGCATGTGTAATCATACACCCACATGGGCCCCGACGAGCGTATTATGGATACACACGTGACGTCTAGGGATGTTGCGCGAGTCAATAAATGAACGTAATTCGAGCCCAATCATTTTATATGGATAGATAGAAGTCGACACAACTCAAATTATCAAACAAATATATGGTCAAGGCATCAATCGGAATATCTGTTTTATACGTACATATAAGACTTTCAAAATCGATGACAAAAGAAATTCATCAACAAAGTCATAAAGCCTACAAAACCTGATCCTCTGTCGACAGCTCGACATAGTCGACAATGTTCAATTCACAAATGGAAATGACCCTAAACACCCCGACGATGAACGTGTTGAATACAAATCAACCAGAAGGGGTCCATTCCAAATAATTCAAAATGCCATTCAAATGTCCGAAAATCCAAATTTCCAAAAATATTCCAAAATTCAAGTATTTAAAATTGAAATTAAACTGTTAAACCCTTAAAGCAAAATTCATCCACCCTCCGCAATAGTTTGCCGGGATGGACAAATTGAAATTTACTTCAGCTTACATAGAGCTAATGCCTAGTTAAAAATATCATTAGGATCTATTTTCAAATAATCTTCTGTCATAAGGATGTGGTACATGTTTTCTAACAAACAGTTTTGCCGCCAAATGGCACTGCAGGTAAACGGTTATGGTTCGGGACCCTCTGAACCGAGTGGTTCTGCCGCCAAATAGCACCACTAAATTACGGTTATGGCCAGAGCCAATATGTTTCTTATTGGCATCAAATCCTTGAGATATGAATTAATATGATATAATCGATAGGGCACAAAGCCCTCTGTTAGCTAAGTTGGATTCAAATTTGTCCCCTTAGATAAAATCCACCCCAGGTCTATAAGGTACCCTAGGACGAAGCAACCCATGGCTGCCGACAAGGATCCTTCTGTCAGGTTGGGTCGACTACCTCCTCTGACTAAGTAGATCAGGGACCATGATGGCCTGGGACGACGGAACCATGAGATCTTGATCGAGTCCATCATCCATCACTCACCATCCGTTTTAAGTGCAAGATGCTGAAATTTCAATTTTTTTAATGTTAAAATTTCCAACCAAACTTCCAAGTATCCATAAACGCATGCTGCTACTATACATCAGATACTGCTTATTTTTATGTATATGATTGACGACTAATCTTAATCAAAAGTTCTCTCTCGTTACCTGGTAGGGTAATTAACTATAGGGGCTTGCGCCTATAGGAAACCAGAACTTAGATCATAAAGTCCTCGTAAAATGAGGGCGAAATCTTTGGGTAGTATCTTATTTACAAACTCATCCGCTTTCCAAAATTTACCCTGGAACTTAATCCGTTAAAACACCCCCGAAAAAAGCAAGCGGGGGAGGCCAGTGCCGAATTTTTGGAGCCCACAAAAAGATTAGGAAAGTAAAGACTGATGTTAAGGTGAATAGAAGTAGTGATAAAGAGTTGCACAAATGGGCTGAACACTTCATGCCATACTCAATCAGAATAAATGGTGGACAAGGATTTGTAAAATCAACACCAAATAATTGTGATAAGGATATTAATGATTAGTTACAATTTTTTAAGAATTCAAAATATTTATTTATTTTCCCTATTGATTTTGTCAAAATTTTGATTTTGAAGTGGATGGATTCATGCTTCTTAGTTGGAGCTTGTTGAATTTTTCTAAGATGACTTGTTAGAGCAAATATATGCATAGGGAATGTTAACCTATTCTTCCTAATGAAAATAATGTCAAGAAACTTTTTTTTCTCATATACTTTCATTCTTCAATAAAATATATAGTGATTGCCTATAATATGTGGGTAGAAGAAATCCATCAGGAAAGTACGTGTGGCACGTTTTCCTATATCTTATTACTTTTAATTTTTAGTTTATTAATTTATAATAAAATTTTGTCCTCTGCACATAAAGTGCATCAAACATATGCTTAATAAGAGTCATCTTATTTGATAATAGTCCATTATGATAATAAGTAATTTATTCAATAAATGTTTGTTATATGTAAATTTCTTATTTGATCTCACATTCTCGCTACTAAATTTTTCTCATACAGTCTAACAGTCTTTGCAAAAATGATCTAGCAAAATCTTTTAACATAGATTTAGTAAACAAAATTTTATGAAAATTAGGTAAGGGATAATGATCAAGTAGTCTTCTAGGCTGTTTCACCAATCTAAGAATGTGAAAGTTCTTATGTGTGTTCAGAGGTAGGGCATGGTGATATGTATTTCAATAATGTTTATGATTAAATAATGAATACATGATTAAAATGAGAAGTTATAATATTTGAAATGCAAAGATCTAATCAATGGACATGCCCATCATTAATATAAAACTTTTGCAGTCAAATTTACAAATTATAAACAATAGGCAAATCTTGCTGCTTACAACAAAGTCAACCAATTATCATGGCAAGCTTAAATTCATCTAAATGTGTATTTTGTTGAATTTCACTAAGGCCTCGTTTGGAATGGTTAACTTTGCCTTTTCCGTCTCGAAGTGGAAAAGTTATTTTTGAATTGTTGTTTGAATGTGACATTTTTGTAAAAATGCTTTTACAAAACAATATTTTTTTATTGTTTTTAAAAGCTTTTGTTATATGCTTCTTCATTACAAAACTTCATTCTCTCAACCAATGCTTTTAAAACTACCTTTTATAAAAGGTACGGGGTAACCAAACGAAGCCTAAGTTATCAAAGAAAGCTAAGTTGAACTACCGCAATATGAAACTTAAAATATTGCATAATTGCATCTTGCCATTATGAAATTAATTCAAACTCATAGGCAATGTTATGTGCCTTGGTTTGTAGAACATAATCGAAACAATGTGTGCTTTTGATCGTGAATGACCGAGGATGATTTCTCCATCTTGAATATGAGCTAATTTTTTTCATGAATTGATTAGGTGCCAATTGTTAAAGTTGCAAGTAGTTGGAGTTCATTTAGAGAAATGAAGCAATCAAGCAAGAAATTTTGACTTCCATTTGATGTAGTTGACCTCAGAGGCCAAGAATAAGGGGATGCTAGTTTTTTTCTATGTAGATAGGCTTCATGCTTTTTTTTTTTAAATTAAGATAGGCTTCATGCTTGTTCTCTCTTTTTGTAGGAAATAATCTCTTTGAATTTAGAATATCATATGGGAAGTAGAAGGAAGAAAATCGAGAAAATAAGTCTAGTTTTTATGTCAAAGATATTTTATGGCTTTTTGTTTGTGGATTTGAGGATTATGTAAAGGATCTATAGTTATTTTGGTGTGAACTAATTTGGATTTCAAAATTTAATTTTGGAAAGGCATCATGGCAAGAAATTTTTTTTTTAAACCAAAGGTAGTTAGTTTTGGTGGTTTGGAATTGATGGGGCTCAGTTTTTCGGTGTTGTAGGATAGTTGGGGCGGTGGGGCTGGCATTATGATTGTGATGTTAGAAATTAGGATTATGGATTGGTTTCCATTTTTTTGAA